AATGCTGAAATCAAGGGCTGCCTACACTACATAGTGAGACCATGTCTCAAAAAAAAAAAAGTCATGTACCTTAGCTAAGAGCTTACTTTCAATCTTGAACAGAGACTACAGATTAATTCTATTCCTAAAAAGCATTATGTATATATCAGCTAAAATTTCACCATCAAATCATTCCTATAACCACTACCTCTAGTGTCAAACAAGTTAGGTCTGAAAATACCAACATAAATAAAACCTGAGTATCTTCCCAAAGACTTACGCTAATAGCTAGTAGGCACAATGTTCTCTGAATTTAAAAAAGGTTTATTCAAACTTTGTAGATACTGAAAAGGTTAACTACTTTGTTTTTGTTTTTTGTACCAGGGATCGAAATCACAACCTCATGCTTGCCAGGCAGGCGCTTATGCCACTGAGCTAAATCACCAGGAACTACTAACTTTGTTTGGATATAAAACAGCCATCTGAGTTGAGTCTTAAGAGAGGAATTAGTGCGCATTTGCCATAAAAAGAGGAAGAGAAGCATTAAAGCAAAAAGTCAGGATTGTGAAAGAACATAGGTTGTAAAATGTGCTTGAAGTAAAAAAAAAATGTGCTGGAAGTACTGCAGTCATACACCACAAACAGATACAGTAAGGGAGTGGCGAGAAAGGTCAGTGTGGGAGTCTTTAAAAGGCCTGCGCATATATAAACCAAAGACTGTCCCTAAAAGCAATGGAAGCCACTGATAAGCATTTATGTATCACCTTGATTCCAAAATTAACAGTTTTCTGGGCTAGGGATTTAGTTCAGCTGCATATAAGCACCTGCCTTTGCAAGCGCGCAGTGGTGAATTCAATCACCAGTACCAAAAACTATGACTCAGTGGTACAATGCTTGTGTAACATGATGCATGAGGTCCTGGGTTTGACTCCAAGAAGGGTGGGGAAGGGAGAGTAGGTGAATGAGAACAAAAATAAAGATCTGTAAGTACTCTTCAGGTTGCCTTCCCCCTCCCTCCTCTAAGCAAACATTTTTCTTTGGTCGTTCCTGGATTATCGTATTATGTACAGCAAAGCACTAGGCATCGTGGTGTACATCTGTAATCCCACCATTCAGGAGGCTAAGGCAAGAGAATTGCTGTGAGTTCAAGAATAGCCTGGACTACAGTAAGCGCATGAGGCCAGTCTGAATTCAGAGCAAGAGCCTATTGCAAAAAGCAACAAAAAAAGTACACCATCACTTTCACAGGTTTTAAAATCTTACAACAGTACAAAGCCATTTAAACATCAGAATAGTGGCTCTGAACATTTTAACAAGAACCTGAACTACTGTCCCCTATAACACCCCCACAAAACTTAGCTGGTGAGGTATGCCAGACTTCCCTAACTTTTGTCTTGCCTGACTCACCCTCTACCAACAACAGCTGAGTAGGGACTGTAGTAGGAAATAGCACCAATAATGCTGGCAAGGTATGAACTGTGTTCAGGGGTACAATATCACCCTGACCAGGACCTATAAACACAGGACCCATTTTATGTTAGAGCCTCTCAGCAAAAGGCGTGGGATAATGAAGAGCTAACATGTCTGGTTCTGGGACAGACAGCAAAGTAACACATACAACTTGAAAACAGGAGTAAGGGGGCAGGAGTGGTGCTGGGCTCAGCTGCATAATGGCCTGCCTGGCAAGTTCGAGGTCATGAGTTCGATCCCTGGTACACAAAAAACAAAAAAAGAGGAAGAATGAACGAACAGGAATAAGGAGTTCAAAAAGGTTAGTTTCTCTTGGTGGTGCCTTTACAGCAAAGAATATGTATTTGGCAAATTGGAGGAAAAATTCTTTGGCCACACCAACTCAGGTCTTTCAGTAAATGAATAAAAACCCCGTATTGAACAAGCTATGGAAAACAATGTTTTTCTCAGAATCAGTTTTCACAACTATCCACCACTAGCTTGTCTCTAACTGTACCTAGTGTGGGTGTAGGGTTACCCAAGTTCTCAAGTCAGATGCTTTTAAATGGATGTCAACTGAGAAGGAAAATGGTCATCTGTTCCACTGTAAAAGGAAACTAGAATCACGACCAATTTCCAATGAAGCGCCTACTCAAAAAATTTTCAAAAGCACTTTGCCTAGGATTCTTTCCCTCTTACAAATGACCCTAAAGCCTAAAGGATTCACAGAATCGGGGACAAAAACAGTTTCTAAAATTTGAAGAACTAAAATTGTCAGTTCATTGCTTTCAGGAAATAAAAACAGTGGATGGAAAGAACAGGTTTACAATGGCAGCTGTTAAAATTTCATACTCTGCAGACCACTCCTTTCCCGTAAGCCCTGAAACAGGAAAACACTGTAGTTAAGTGGGGAGACTGGCACACTTGAGGAGCTTTGGCGGAAACACACACCAAAACAGCCAATAAGGGTATATGCTAAGAAACAGTATGGCCTATAAAGACGTTTCTTCTTCAGAGTTCCTTCTTTTGGACATTCTTTTAAGATCTTCCTCAGGCTAGGTATAGCTCAGTGGCACAGCATTTGCCTGACCAAGCCCAAGGCTGCAACTCTGATTCCCAACACCAAAACAACTTGCTATAAACTGCTTCCCCTGAAACTTTCTGCACACCCTCCTAATCTGGTAATCTAACTCTTCTTCCACTGGGAAAATGCTCTTTCTCTGTAAACACCTTGCCTGCAGGGCGGGGTCAAAAGAAGCCAAGGAGACCACACTAAGCCTTTCTCTAACCTAAGCAACTGAAATCTTCAAGCTCTGTGGTTTACTCACCCGGCTAGGTTTAAATACTACAAAGCAATACGGGCACAACAGATCTTACCATCTGAATAGTCTACCTATGTCATGAACACCCAGTGGGCAGCATGGCAAGAACAGACTGGGGCTCAAGATATTTGTTCACCAAGCAAATCCCTCTAACAGGCAAATGAAGAGATGCAGTTTAAGTGGGCATTCTAATCTAGATGTCCAAACAGGTGTGGGCTTGACTATCCCCTTCTTTATTTTTTGTCTTTTTGAAACAATCTTGCTATGCAATTCAGGCTGCCATTGAGCTCACTTTCTAGCCCAGGCTGGTCTCAAACTTGCAACAATCCTGCCTCAGCTTCCCAAATGCTGGGATTACAGGTGTGCACCATCATGCCTGGCTTCCGCTTTTTTATTCTGAAAACAATTATTTTATAAGATTTATCAGGCTTATATACTTCAGAGGAAAATTTCTGCTTTATGTTGATATAGAATCTTTGACAGCTGATTGCTGCAAATGACTATAAAAGGCTGACAGATACAAAACTAATCAGGTTTTTGCTTCTGGGTATATATAGCTCAGCAGTATAAGTACTTTCTGGCAAGCACAAGGTCCCAAGTTCAATTTCAGATTAAAAAAAAAAGCTTCCCTATATTCCCTATCTCCCTCACTCGATGGTAGATGGTATTACCAATGAAGTAACCAACTACAAGAATAGCAAGCCAATGTATTGAAAATGACAAGTGAAAGAATGATGCTGGAAATAAGTTAAGAAATGGCCCTGTACTTACACTCTTTGTATGCCAGAGCAACAAAACCAAAAAGGCAGCCGTTATGAAAACGTTTCCATTACCCACCCTATTACAAGTGTAACTCTATAAACACTAATTTCTCATGACATATTGTAGTTTACTATTTCCAACACTTCCCCAAAGGCTTGTCGAAACTGAACTGAGGTATGGTGTAGTGTAAGACCAAGTCCATGGGCATCACCTCTAGTCATTATCACTAGGTTTCCACAAGAATCTGATACCCTATCTCTGTCATCTATCTTGTATTTCATCACAAAAACAGAATGAGGTAGTAGACTTCCAACGCGCAACTCTGCCACTGCTGAAATCTCATTTCTTGTATTTTACTTATAAACCCAATTCTTTCAGAGGTAAATATGACTTAAAAGATCTGAAACTGGAGTGCAAAAAGAGACAGTCCTTGCACCAAACTTACATCAATAATCAAGGCACACCACGGGATGAGGAATGAGTGCCTTTATGAAGAACTCCAGAGTTGGCCAGGTTAGGCTTTATCTCACTGTCCTTTCAGTTCCCAAGTGCTGGGTCACACTCCAACTTTCTTTAAGCTTAAGGACTGCATGTAGCTTCTGAACACTGTCTACCAGCAACAAGGCACTAACTTCCTATCTACCTATACAATTACAGGTGAGACAAGTAAGCTTGTTTATTCGGCAAGATACTAACAATAGCTCGAATGAACAATAATTTTCTACACTCCTGAAAGTAAGTCACTTAAAATTAAAATGCAGGGGGCTGGGGATTTTACTCAGTGGCATAAGCACCTGCCTTGCAAGCAGGCGGTCATGAGTTCGATCCCTGGTACCAATAAAAAGGAAAAAAAAAATTAAAATGCAGTCCACTAGTAGAAAATATCCGTTAGGTGTGGCAGTACACACCTATAATCTCAGCTATCTTGGGAGGCTAAAGGAAGGATTGCAAATTCTAGGCCAGGCTGAGCAACTTAGCCACTCTCAAAAGAAGGGCTAAAAATGTAGTGCCAGTGGGGAACATTTACTTGCACAGCACATGGCAGGTCCTGAGTTCAAACCCCATTAACATAGAAGAGGGAAGAGAAGACTTAATTATAATTAGCCATGAAATTACAGAAAGGTAGGATAATATTTATAAACACTCCAGTAACAAATAATCAATAAACACCTGAGAGGTCTCCACAAAATTCAGCTATGAAAGTCTATGAAAGTCTATGAAAGCTATGAAAGTCTAGTTGAAATTCTCTAAGATAAAAGTGAAGACTATTACAGTAAACTCAGCAAAAGATAACTACACAATATAAAAACACTAGCCAGGCATGGTGCTGCTCACCTTTAATACAAGCTACTAGAGAAAAGAAAGAATCACAAGGCTGGCCTGGTCAACTGAGGAAGAATCATCTTAAAATACAATTATTCATTATTTATTTGTACTGGAAATTGAACTCATGACCTCACACTTGCCAGGCAGGTGCTATGCTGCTGAGCTATATCCCTAGCCCAAAATTACATTTAAAAAAAAAAAAAAAAAAAAAAAAAGCTAAGCACGTACATCTGAGCTCCCTGGGTTCATCACACCACCACAGACAAAATATTACTGCATTTTCCTCTTTCTCTCCCCAGGTAAGAAGTCCAAGGATACACTCCTGAGAATACATCTTGTCTAATAAAGTAAATTCACTAATAAAATATCAAATGTATCTATCAATTATAGTAATGAAAACTTTAGTTTTGCTAATTTCAAACATGGTTTTGGCAAAGGGAATTAAGTAGTTGTAAAAACAAGCAACACAGTAACAAAAATGTATTCCAAAAAAAGTCCTTTAGATAGGGGAGGGGGTTAAAAAAAAAGTCCTTTAGATAAATGTATCTTTAGTAACAGGCTATCAATATTCCCAACTTCTTTGACATGTAAGTCTTCAAGAACCTAACACAGGCTAGCTTGGTGGTGTATGGCTGTAATTCCAGCGTTTGGGAGGCTCAGGCAGAGATCACCAAGAGTTTCAGGTCAGCCTGAACTACATAGCGAAACCCTGTCTTGAATAAACAAAAGAACCTACTATAAATCTTGAAAAATAAATTGTACAAATAACACTTTTTTTGTACCAGGAATAGAATCTGGGGTCTTGACTTCCAGGCTACACCACTGCGCTAAATCCTGGCTTTATTCATGTTTTTATATTTGCTTTTCTCACTCAAAACAGAGCTGCTTGTGAGCTATATAAGTCTTCCTCATTTTGTATCCTTTGAAACCATTGTGCCAAGTACTGATTAAACAACTATCCTTTTATCCTGGGTTAATTCTTTACCAAAAAGAGACTTCAAAATTCCCCACAGAACTTTTCAAAATTATGTCTATTCTCAGAGAAAATGGTTTTAGTAAGTGTAAGACCTCATGTAGTTCTTTGAACTCTTAACATTCTGGGAAATACAACGCATGGGGCTGGGGATTTAGCTCAGTGGCATAAGCGCCTGCCTTGCAAGCAGGCAGTCATGAGTTCGATTCCCAGTACCGATAAAAAGGAAAAAGACAAAAAAAAAAAAAAAAAAAACCCACATGTCAAAACCCACATATACAATTATATATAATCAGTTCTTACAGGCACTAATACCCTTTAAGTTGCTATTCAAAAACAACTGAAAGAATCTGATGACAACTTAATCTATTAATTTTAAGTTAAATTTTAAAAGTTTAATTTCCTCTTTACAGGAATCATTAATAATTTCTTAGAGAATTTGTAAGAGAAGAGTACACCCTGGACAAGCTCGTAAACCTAAGGATTAACATACACTAGATAGAAGAGTGTGCTCACAACAGTAGGGAAAGAAAAGTTGAGTAATTTTTTATCTGTCAGTAACTGGAATCAACACAGCAGATGACCAAGACCTGCCGAAGGCATAGTGTCACAGTCAGTCATCCTTTCTCATATTAAATAGTAAGGTCATTATCCGATCTGCATTCCCCAGTCACACAACTATTCCATGTATTCAGTTGGTTAGCTATGTGCAAGTACTGACATTACCACTAAGACACCCAAGACTTAGGCTAGCCAGCCTATAGACAGCTTAGGAACAAGAAGTGTATTTTGTTCACGCTAAGATACCTCTACATAAAACAGGCAAAAACAGTTTCTGGCGCTTAAGGAATTAAAATTCACTCCTTTCAAAAAATTTATATTAGGGGCTGGGGATTTAGCTCAGCAACATAAGCGCCTGCCTTGCAAGCAGGCAGTCGTGAGTTCGATCCCTGGTACCGGTAAAAACGAAAAAAGACAAAAAAAAATTTATATTAATTTACAAATTAGCTAGACTCTAAAAGTAAATCTACTTCCCCAGTTACTTAAACATGAGCTAGAAGTTCTTTTCAGTAATACTAAAATCACACTATAGAAACTGAGACAGTCCAGAGCTTGACCTTTTTGACATGTACATGACTTGAATCTCAGCCACTTCCTAGCTGTGTGACAAGTTAACGGAACCTCTCTGCATTACCTCAGCCATAAAAATGGAGTATTTCACCTCTCATATGGTTGTCTTGAAGACTAATAGGGCTTAAAGACTATTTGGTATATAGCTGAGGCTTTGTCTTACATATGTGGTACATGTAAAAAAAACATCTTTTGAGGTTAGCTCTGTAGTTGAGAATACAGCCAGACCCTCATGGCCTGGGTTCTAATCCCAGCTATCACAGGATCCTAGATGTTTTTCTTCCCCTTAACCTCTGCTCTAGTTTCTGATTTGAAAGTGTAGACAACTGTACTACTTCCTACATTTGTTACAAGATCAAATTAGTATAAGTTGTTTCAAGTAGTTTTAACACACTGAAAACCTGAGTTAGTTACCCCCTTACTGACACCAAACTCTGGGCCTTGCACTGAGAGAGGGACAGATCCACAGTCCTATATTTTTTGAGATAGTATCTCATTGTGTACTTCAGACTGGCCTTAAACACACTAAGTGCAGGTTGGGCCTGATACTCCTCAATACTGGGCAGTGATACTCCTGCTTCAGTGTCCCAAGTACTTGGATTACAGGAATGTGCCACAAGGCTGGCCCTGAGTTTTTCTTTCAGGCTTACTTCAGGTCAGATTTGGGGCATGGGGTTAAAAAAAAAAAAAAAAAAAAAAAAACCGCTATAGTCAAACATTTTCCAAAACCTATATACTATATAATCACAATATATGGCCCTAATCATTGATCTATTGCCACGATCAATCAATTTAGTGTTTTTACTTTTTTGATTCCTGTTGTCCAACAGTCCTATCTGGGATCATTCTACAGTTGATTGGGCTGGGCATTTAGCTCAGCGGCATAAGTGCCTGCCTGGCAAGTGCTAGATCATGGGTTGGATCCCCAGTACTCAAAAAAAAAAAAAAAAAAAAAAAAAAAAAAAAAAAAAAAAAAAAAAAAAAAAAAAAAAAAACCTTTGCACTTTAGTACAATACTGAGAACTACAGACATCTTTTTTAAGGCCTTCTAAACATAAGTACAAATACACAACAAAAAAAATCACTGACATCAATGGCCACTCTAGCCCTTTACAATAAAGCATTCCTCTTCAAAACTGTTTGCGAAAAATGACTGGATCTTTCTCCCACTCCTTGTGTGATATTGGAGATAGAACCCAGGGCCTTTTAACTTTTAGATTATACTGTATTTTTTAAAAACTTGCTCATGTGATTAGACAGTAATGGGTGAAAGAAACAGCAAACCATTTATGCAGTCTTAATTTTTTTTTTACAGGTTGAGTTAACCATGTACCACAAACACTGGGTTAAGTCTTTTTGAAAAGACTTCAAATCTCAGTATTATGTAATCCTTTAAAATATTTAGATCATCAACAACCTGGCACATTAACTAAAACTACTAAACTACCAAGATTCTTTTAGAAAGTTTCCAAGAATTACACATTGTGATCTTATGACAAGTGTACCAAGATCCTGTTCAAAATCACACATTACATTTAACCCGAATGATGCTTCATGTTTTCTGTGCTGCCCTCCCCGTGTCTAAAACAGTACATGGTGCCTTAACTATGAGGGCAAAGCTATTTACTGTTCATATGTAACAACCATCTCACAGAAACCCACGAATAAGCTTGCTCAACGATAGGAACACTAAAACGTTTTTGCCCAATGTTCACTCTTAACCACTGCCATCCTGCCTCTCTAGAGCTTTTAAATTAAAATGGTGTCACAGCAGCTGGGTATCACCTGTAAAAGAAAAAAAATCAGTGAGACCTTCCCTCCAGTGTTGTCTGTTCCACATGTATAAAATGCAGTGGGGCTCTGAGAATATTGTACGTTGTAATCGCCTTAACTAATTTCTCACAGATACAACACTCTGAAATGTATTGACTATGATGTCTCTGTATTAACCATACTATAAATACAACTATGTTTAATTTGGCCCCCTCAAAGTAGTCACTGAAAAGTTATCACTTAAAATCTGAAAGCCTTAAACCCTACTTTTTCTTCCTTTCCTTGCGTCTCCAAAATACAGATTCGAGCACTTTTATTAACCCACTGTGACAGTATAATGATCTAAACGAATTCAAGATTTAAGCATCAATGAGTTAAAGCAAATTTTTTCTTCTATAAAGCACCAGTTTTGCCACTTAAAACTCCAAAGCCGTACCTACTAAATAACTGCAAGTTAGTAAGATCAGATCTATTTTAATAACCAATTCCTTCTATGTACGTCTTAAAAAGTATCCTCAAAGTTTTTAACCTACATCTCCCAATTTCCCGTAAGGCTGAAATTTGTTCCCTCATATGTTTTTCAAGTTAACTGTAAATACTCCACCCTCCTTGATTGTGCAAGAACCAAATACACTACACATACGCAAGACACAAAAAGACGACTCCAAGAGGTCGAATTCTGGTGAGGGCAGGGAGAACCCAAGCCGAGGCCGAGACGGGATACAAAAGTTACCCCCTGACAAAGAATAGACCCCACACTATTAGGAACGGAAACGCCGGAAAGGGCCTGAGCCGGCGACAGCCGGCGCCATCTTAAGATGCGGGACAGAAGTTGGGGCAGAACCGAGACTGAACGGGGTGGGGACCCTCGCTCCCGACCCGAGCGCGCTGGAGCCGGGTCCCAGGTGAGCGGCGGGAGCCCCGCTCGGGCGGCGCGGCCCAGACCCCCACCGGCCCCCGGCGCTGCGATGCCCCCCGGCCAGCCCGCCGCTCACCCTGCGGCCCGGTTCCGGGGACTCCGCCCGGCCCGACCCCCACCCGAAGCAGCCCTGGCTGCCGAGCCCCTCCGTCCCCACACGGGCTTCCGGGCCGCCCAGCCAAACTCCCCCCGCGCCCGCCAGGCCCTACCTTATTAATCCGCTTCAGCGCCATGGTCCGTGCTGTCCCGGCCCTCGGTGTCCGCGTGTTCTCGGTCCCGCCGCGTCTGGATGGTCCTCGGCTCTCAGCGGCTCAGACACGGCCCTTCGTGAGAACGAACGGGGCAGTCAGCGCTCGCCCGGGGACCCCCGGCGGCAGGGGTCGAGGGGTGCGGGGACAGGGATGGAAGCAGACCCGGGCCCTGGGGGAGGGGAAGGGTGCGGGGCCAAGATAGGGGCGCCGGGCGGCGTCACTGGCCGGGGGAGCGGGCGGGGGAGGGCGCGCCGGCCGCACGGCGCCGGTCGCTTTCGGTTCCCGCTTCTAGGGGACGCGACAGAGGCTTGCGGGCCGGTCCCGCACCCGGCTCCTCCGCGGGGACGCGCCCGGCCGAGCGAGCGCCGTGACCCGGCCTCCCCGCCGCCCTACGGGCCTCCCGCGACCGCCCGAGCCCACGCACAGAGGCCGGGGCTCCTCGCCTGGCCTCGCCTCGGCCTCCTCTCGCGCGGCTGCGGCGCCTGCCCGGCCGACGGGGCTCCGCGCGACACCGCCACAAGATGTCCGCCGGACGGAACTACGCCGCGCGCCCGCCCGCCGCCCCCCGCCCCCCGCGCCTGCCTCTTCACCGCACGGATCCGTCCGCCAACGCCGCGGCGCGAGCGAGCGCAGCTCGGCGGTCCAGTCCCCGGCCGGCTCGGCCTGCGAACCGCCGCCTCCTGCTCGGAACAGCACCTTCGACTACGCCGACCGGAGGTCGCGCCTGGCGGGCGGGGGCTGGGGGCGGGTCATGGGCCGAGGGCGGGCGGGCGGCGGCGGAAGCCCGGACTCAGAGAAGCATCGAGAACCGGAAGGAGACCCCGGGAGGAAGGGCCTAGAAGCGGCAGCTGCGCGGAGGAGCCCCACGCCCCTCCCAGCGGCGTCCCCCAGTTTCCTCACTTGGTACGGAGGAGGCGGGTCTCGCGAGAAACGCGCAGCAGCCTGCCCGGAGCTGGAGCTCTGCAATGACTTAAGGGCAGTTTTGTGCGCTCTTCCTGACGGAGCCCCGCCCCAGAGCCGCAAACTCTCGCGAGACCCGTCAGGAAGCTGGCCGGAAGTAGGTGGGGCTGCCAACGGGAAGCCCCGCCTCCCGAGGCTTGCGCTGGTGGGAAGGAGAGGAAGTGGAATTCCCCGGGCGGTGTGATGGAGCCGACGTCTTTGGGAATGTGCGGGTGGGCGGGGCCGCGGGCTGAGGGCGGATGCCTGTGGTCCTGATAGAGCCGCGAGGGCAGGTGAACAGTATTTATGCCCCTCTAAGCCGAACGCTGCGGACGCCCCTTTCCAGGGAAGAGGCTGGCTCGCAGAGCGCGCACACGTGGCGGAGCCGGGCGCGTGCCCAGCCCGGGAGGTCAAGATTCCGTGCAGATGTGGGCGATCAGAGAAGGGGGAGCGCAGGCCGACTTAGCGCCTTTCTTCTTAGTGTTCCTTCCTGGGTCAGAGCAGCCAGACCTCGAGAAATCCAATAGGGCTTGGGGTCGGAGAAGCTCAGGACGTGGTGGAAGCGGGTTGGCTGCCCGGGAAGGATGCAGCATGTCCCAGCTATTGAAAGGTTTTTAAAAGTCACCAAAGCGGAAATTTTTAAGGATCACATGGAAAAATAAACTTGATTTTAAAATACACTTCACTTAGAAAACAAAGCATTACCTACTAAAGTCATAGGTTATGATTATTATTCTAAGAGGTACCGGTCAGGTAACCGTTCAAATGTAGTATCACTGGAGTCAACAGTACTTCTCAAACTAGTGTCCATAGCGATCACCTGGAGTTTTTTTTTCAAAAGGCGGATTTTGATTTAGTAGGCCAGGTTGGAGACAGAGTCTATAGCTCTAACAAGCTCCCATCTGATGTCGATACTTTGCAGTCTCAACCATTCTGAAGATAGCAAGTCACCCAGGTGCTCACCTCTGACCTACTGGATGCCTGCTGTTTCCTCTCACAGAGTAATCTTTCCATTGTCCTTTCTTCCTGCTCTCCGGGTATGAGTTTGAGTTTGAGGATTAGACTCGAAGGTAGAGGGGAAAACCTGGGTTTGAGTTCTTGTTTATTGCTTCCCACTTGTGAAATTGGTTTGATTACTCATCTAAGTCTGTTTCTCCCCTACTCAGCTAAATGTAATAATAGCTATCCTCTCTTTTTTTTTTATCCTCTCTTTTGGAGTTGACATGTGGTTCACGTGTCATAAGGACACTAGACTTTTCTAGTGTAAGTTATTCAAGTAACAAGTCAGACACTAACTGGCCCAAGTGTGAAATAAATGTAATAGGAATAGGTCATATATATGGAATGTGTCACACACTGGATATTGTCTTAGTAGTCTTTTACAAGTGAAGAAATGAAGGCACAGATTAAGTTACCATCCCAAGATACATAACAACTGAGTGGCAGAAGTAAAATTTGAGTTTATATAATTAACTTCAGGTATGTATGAATGAATGGAATTTCACAGAGCAAGATATTTTCTGCTTCTGTTTTAACTGACATCTGAAACTTACTTGATTTCTGTTGATCTAACATTGTTTATTTCTTCCTTTCATTTTACTATTCCAGAAGCCAGGATACATGAATAGGAGGAAACATTCTCACATAAAGGTAATATCCAGGTTGGTATATCCATAAAGAAAAGCCTCAAGAGAAACCAGCTGCGTCATCCTAACCCTACCAGGTTCATTATAAAAGTACAATAAAACTCACTAGTGTGGGTTGGCACAACACAGTGGACTGGGACAAACAGCAAAGTCCCAAATTTTTTTTGTGCCACTTTCGCAGAAAAAAACTAACACTTTAGCAGTCCAATGAAGTCACAGACTTTCTCTAGTACACATATGAAATGAAATTCATCATATTATAAAGTAAAACATTTGAAGGTGTTAACAGAAATCAAATGATACAAGTATACGTTTTTTAGAAGGTATAGAAATATGTTATAGAGGGGCTGGGATTTAGCTCAAATGCATAAGCACCTGCCTGACAAGTGTAAGGTGGTGAGTTCAATCCCCAGTACCAAAAAAAAAGCTAATAGAAACCTTGGCAATAATTTTATCTCATTTGTTGATTTTTTCCCCACTATTTTTGGATGTCTGACTCTGGAAAATTGAACTATCCAAGTTGATCAGAATGATTTCCCAAGCATCCTGGGTAATTTAGGTTTTATTATATTTATTTATATATATTAGGTCTTATTATATAATTTATGTTTTATTATTTGTAAATAAGGTGTGTGGAAGAATAAATAATAAAGGATGAAAGTTAAATATTCCGGGGCTGGGGATTTAGCTCAGCGGCATAAGCACCTGCCTTGCAAAGCAGGCGGTCGTGAGTTCGATCCCTGGTACCGATAAAAAAAGAAAAAAAAAGAAAGTTAAATAGTGCATATTTAAACTTTTAATAGGCTTTAATAATAGCTCAAGTACTGTGTGATAGTTCTTTTTAACTTATTATCCCATCAAATTCCCATTATACAGGTGAAAAACTCAAGATTATATAGCTAATAAGTAGTAAAACCAGGATTTTAAATAAGCAGACAGACTTTAAAGACAGACTTTCTTTGGAAGCACATTCTTGTTAAGTTGCCTAGGTGGGACTTGAACGTTTTGTCCTTTTTCCTTAGCCTCCCTAAGTCTTAGAGTAATAGATGTATGCCACCAAACCTAACCTCAAGGCTGGCACTCTTAACCACTAACCTGTTTATTTTTAGTTCTTTGACAGTATTAATTTTCCTGTAAGTGCAACATACATATTTGATGCCTCAAAATAATTTATGTATTTCATGTAGAGCTCTCTTCAATGACTAAGGGATTTTCCAAAGTCTTGAAGTGATACTAATTATATCCAGAATTATCTTTAAATGGGCTACTAGTTGGAGCTGGAAAACAGTTTTGTTTTCAGAGATTTTTGTTGTAATGGAGTTTGCATCCAAGACAAAAATCCACCCAGACGTGTCTATTCCAGCCCTGCAAACATACTTTCATGTTGAAATCTAAACTTTTATTTGGTAGTAGTGTCACCATATTTTTTACACTGACCATTATCAGGATTATATCCAAAGTGGTCGTGGTGGTGTGTGCCTGTGCACCCAGCTCCTTGGGAGCCTGGGGTTATGAAGGATTCCTGGAGCTCAGGACGTCAAGGCCAGCTTGGAAACATGTTGTGATCTGGTCTCTTAAAATTAAGCAAGATAATATATTTTTTTAAAATCATAAAGTGTATGGAATTCTAGATTATCCATTTAATGAGGCAAGCAATGGCATAATCCCAAATTCAGTTTTGTTTGAAATTTTTTGGGAGTGAATTTTGTTGTTTAACTAGGCTTCCTGTTTACTTGCTTGGTTGTAATTGCAGCAATTGACTTACATTTCTTACTCACATTTCCCTAATTTGAGGTCTTATGATAAAGCAGGCTAGGATTAGCTAAAAGTTTTGAACATTTCACATATTTGCATTCAGTGAGCCCACTTTACAGTTGCCATTAAAGTTTACATTTTCATTATTTGATTTAGTTTGGTTTACCGTGATGAAAATGTCTCCCCCCTAGGAAAAGAAAAAACGGTTGGTTTGTTTTTTTTGTTAATCCTGCAGGTCAGTCCAGGAGGGCTCCCCTTGTGCACTGGCCCCCTGCGCTGCAGCTGGAAGCTGTTGAAATAAAAGCTCACTTTGGTGTTCCTTTTAAAAAAGGAAAACAAAAACAAAAGCTGGAGCTGGGGATATAGCTCAGCACTCCCTCAGATCTGTCCCCAGTAACACACACTTTAATATTTTCTTACACATTATAAGCCTAATAAAAATATAAAAAGACTAAACTGGGTGTATGGCACACACCTGTAATCCCAGCAACTCAGGCGCACAGAGCAGGAGGAGCACAAGTTCAAGGCCACCTGGGCCAATTTGGAGACCCTGTTTAAAAAAAGAAAAGAAAAAAGAAGGACTGGGTATATAGCTCACTATTCCAAGGTTCAATTCCCAATACTGCCCCAAAAAAAAAAAAAAAAAAAAATCAAAAAAATTACTATGAAATTGGCAAATAACTAATCGCAGAGAAAGTGTGCCAGGGCCCTAATATGTGAGTTCCTCAGTGAGGGCACATTGTCATAATAATTTGAGTTTAAGGGTTAAGTATATTTGCAAGTAAATAGAATTAATATAACTTTGTACTGTAAGTACATATTAATGTAGTGTCTGTAAATTTGTCATAGAATTTTACTAACTTGCCTAGGCCACTAAGTCTAATGGGATATATACTATTCTTATTAGCTGAATTAAATTCTAAATGCAGTGGTCAAAATTTTATGTTGAGTACATTTTTCATACTCTGCTTTGAATAGATAATATGAACCATATGAATCAAGTCAACCAATTATTGTTTGCATTTTGATACTTCCCAGTTCAGAACCTCATTTTTATTAAATTAATATAGTTAAGAACTTTCATGCTGGGCTGGGGATTTAGCTCAGTGGCATAAGCACCTGCCTTGCAAGTGTGTGGTCGTGAGTTCGATCCCCGGCACCAATAAAAAAGAAAAGACAAATAAAAAATAATAAAAAAAGAACTTTCATGCTCCGCCTCCTGAAAGCTGGGATTACACTTGTGTACCACTATACCTGGCCCAAATTTTTAAAAATCTACAATCATAACAAATCTAGAAAAGACATGAAAATCCGCAAACAAGAAATACGAAATGTGAAGAAACATTTTATTGAACAATGGTGAAGAAAACTAAAATAATGGCAACATATTTGAGGATAGAAGGCACCCATATGGC